AGCACAGTTTGCTTTCCTTGTAATTCAAGTATACTACTTGGTTTGTTTGACTAACAATGAAAAAGTAAAAATACTACATACTTATGCAAAAGTATTACAGAATTTGGAGCTTGTTATTATTTAGGAATAGCTCTTACTATTAATAACAGTAATAATCATTACTGTCTACCAGTGATTTTGTAATAACAAACTGTTTCATTTAATATCAAATCAAAATAATTTCCTTGTTTCTCTATGAAAACATGCATTTAAAGGATAAAGTAATATTTTGAAAGGCATTATAAATGTTCATCACTGTGGTTAATGATTCCTATTTAATTTACTTTTAAAAAGTAATACTAGAACCTTTGGCCCAAATTCAATCCCACACCAAATGCTAGAATTTTCCTTTTTCATACAAAAAGTTACTTCTGTTGTTTCCACTGTAAGGTTCCTTACACTGCAAGAGCAAGACAGTGCAGAGAAAAGGAAAATCTGAATTTATTTTAATCATGATAGAGAAAGCCAAGAAAAAAACACAGGTTCAATATTTAGGATCTCTGTAGAAATACAATGCACTGTTACTGAATGACACCTAACTTGCATCAGTGTTTCCAAAACTGTGCTCACTTAAGAAGACATTTCAGAGTCAGACCATGCCACACAATAAATGCTAGTTATTAATCAAAAATGCACCTATCCATAAACTTTAGCACTCCGAGAGCATTGATTTACTGCCTTGACATCTGTAGAAAGGGATGCCAAAATAACTAAGATTTATAACTCTCATTAAAACAGACTTGGCTGGGCATTTATTTCTTCAGTTCATGCCTTAAACTGCATATTTGAGCCAAGATTTTTCTAAACATACAGCGTTGACTGGTAGCCTGAGGACTCCTAATAGTTGCATGAAAAGCATAGGAAAAGTGGTTTTAAAAGATTGCCTGTGCTTTGATGTCTGTGTTTCTCTTCAAGATCTTAAATATTAATTTCTATCTGAAATCTAGTTGTCTTTCATTTCCTACAGAACAATTTAATATGTGCTTTCTATTTCGGCTGACAGATGTAGTGAACGGAATTTGTGCTCCTGTTTGTCTGTTTCCCAGCCACCGTCATCCTGGTACAGGTCGTAAGGGAAAACAGGATATTAAAACAAGTGAAGTGACTGAAGGCTCTTATTTTACGTTTCAGAATTATGACTACACAGCACTAGATGTAGTTAAGGCCATCACTAATGATCATGATGACACAAAAACCGAACTTTGGCTTCCCAAGTAGTGGATTTCTGAAGACAGTAGCAGGAGGGATCAGTGTAAGGCAAGACTAACGTGTGGCCTGAGTACCTCCTGGTGGCTTGCTTCCCGTATGGCATCGCTAGCCAGGGAAGGCAAACACTTGCCTTTATAGTCACCCTAACATAGTCACAGACTTTCTGTAAAAACACATGGTAAAGGCACAGTCCGAGTTACTGATGCGCACTTTAAGACAGTCATGGCACACAGTAACACGCACGCGCACACAGAAACAATCCCGAGTGTACTGATGGAGGAAAACCCTCCAGGCCTCAAGCAATGTTCTGGTCTGCCTTCTTTTCCCCCTTGGGAACCAGGACTTCTGAACAGAAGTTGAGTGGGGTTGGACCAAGGTGCAAAACATGCATCTGTTAAATAAATCGGTAACACATCTTTTTTCCTTTCCTAGGTCTTCCAGCTCCAGCAATGGCCATGACTCTCACTTTTGCTCACATTCCAAAAATTCCCAGTGTCCTGCTGCCAGGGCCCAGGCTTTATACACAGTTTTTTTGCTGTAGAAAGCTGATTCTGCAGCAGGTGCTGAAAGTGGCATGTCATGGGATCTTGAAAGGGGTTTCTTAAAATACAGTAACGTTTGTCCCAAATATTGTGTTCATCCCCAATACCGGTGTCCTTTGAAAATAGAGGCTGTGGGTGGGGTGGGGGACTGCTAGAAAGTAAAAAAAGGTCAGCAAATAAATTTTCTTAACATACAAAGCTTCCCAAGGGTAACAAGTTCTTCTTTTAAACTGAATTTTTCTCAAACTATTTTTTTACCTAAACTGAGATTAATTTTTTCCTTAAACTAAGACTGCAAAATACAAGGTGCTTCACCTCCCTTCTCAACCTCTTTGTCTCATACAAATGTACAAAACAGAGAAGAGTGAAGTGGGCAGAAAGACATAATATTCTCTGAGAATATAAAAAGAAATTACAAAATTTTTTGTAAAGTAACATTTCCTGATACAAGTTTTCACAAGATGTGAGAACAACGCCTCTTACCTAACAAGCACATTTGACTTTGACTTCACACACAAATAATTATAAAGAGAGCATTTTAAGTTGATAGGACTGTTAATGCCCATGATAGTATTTTATAACTATTGTCCTTTATCATATGCACATAAAAATATTCCAAGCATAACAGACTCTGAAACAACCTGTTAAGAATACCCACCTTCTTCACAGCTGTCAATGCCTAACTGTGCTTGAACTGTTACACAAACCAAATTACCTATTTTCAGTGTTATCCTTTGGACTAATTTCACCAGTGCATTTTTGTGGATCATATGCACATGCTACAGTTATGATTGTAGTATTTTAGTAAGATTCTCTATATAGTGTATTCAACAGATCTTGAGCAATAGTAAGGTCATCATTTTTTGTAGGCTATGCTCTGCAAACTGTTAATTATAAAAACTGTTATTATAGCAGTGGTAAGCTTTCAGATTTTTTTTTTTTTTCGGGAATGATACAAAAAGGTGGTACATTATTTTGGTGTGAGCATTTTTTTATATATGCATTACTACACATAGCTTCAAAGTCAAACGTGAGGTTGCCAGTATGCAGTAATTTGATTGGTGTGAAAGTTAATATAAAATGTGGTGGTGTTTTGCTTTTTTAAAGAACTGTGATATTTAAGTTCCAAACTCAAATGGGATTTAAAACCTAAGCAGATAACTCAGGCCAAGAAAAAACGCTTTCATTCTTATATTACTGAAAACATAGTTTATCTGTCTGTAGAGGTCAGTGTGACTAGCAGGAATCCAGTCATTATAAAAAGTGAATTTGCATAAAAGATAATGGACAACTTTTGTTATTGTGGTGGTGTTCAGCATCACTGACTGTAAGAATATGCTCGCCTACGTTTGTCATACATTTTGTAACTGATGTACTTCTGAAGTAATGCAATTCTTCAGTCACAATATGCATAGCAAATTTTATCAAAAGACTTTATAGTATGACTTTTTTCTAGTATACTAATACAATACACCTTTCTTCTAGTATACTAATTTGGTACAGAAATCTGTAGTGGACGTTCCATGTGTGGAAAATTTTAACAGCAGCAATTAAAAGTTTTGTAGTCAAGTATACAAACCTTGCATTGAAAAAAACCCAAAACAAAACAAAACAAAAAAGAGTGGACAACCTTCACCATCCTAGACAAAAATAAGCTTTTGATGCAGTTCTCTTCTCTGTAATATCAATGTTTAGGACTGATACTACTGATATTTTCTTTCGTTTTCTTATCATATTTTCTGTTATCCTCTTCAGCTTTTCTTTAATATCTTGCCTATTCTTTGTGATATATATACCAACTTCAAGTAACCTACTTGCTTTTTAAAGACTACTTACAATTCCTTTTCCCACCACCACATAAAGTGTCAGTCTATCTGTATTTGAACATCCGTTTTTATGGAACCATTGATACGACAGTCCTAAAAAAAAATAGCCATTCAAAAAATGGCTAGATTTTATATAAACGAGCTTAAATATTCAATTTACATTCATAATCTTGAATTCTTTAGAAGCTGGCTAGGAGAGATTAGTATTTAAAGATCTTTATTCTATCTTAAAGACCTACAATCTGTTTAAGGCTGTAAATATTCACAGGACATCCTATATCCTCCCATGTTCATTTTTCTCCAAATAGGATACTAACAAGAAATCATCGTGAGAGCTAAGCGCAGCATAAATAACTGTGCCAATGAATCATGGCCAAGTGTCCTTTTTTAAAAAAGCTTTACAATTAATTTAATACAGTATGTACATGCAAGATGAGTGTGCAAAGCTTGGTGTCACTACTATAAAGGAAGAGCTAGGGGAAAGGGGAAGATTTATGTATCTGCAATATTGGAAGAGAATAAAGAGGACAAGTCATTAAAAAACTGTGCACGCATTGTCTGCGGAAGCACCTGAGATGTTGCTTATGCAGACACCTAACTGATCAAAAAATTTGCCAGTACCATAGCAGAGAAGGCAGACTCAGTAACCTGGGGCATCTTTCAAAGCTTTCACCAGCTTCTTAAAGGAATTTGCCAACTGTTGGTAGGCTCAGTATTGCAGGTAAGGTTGCCGTTATTATTTGGGTATGCTTTGTAGACGCTATTTCAGATGTTTGTTTTCTTCTTCCCATCTGCACAAAAGAGTTTTTCCACGCTTTTGAGTGAAAAACCTACCATAAAACGTGACAGAAAATACTAATATGCGAATTGCAAGAAAGTCTGAGAGACTTCCCTTGGGAAAACACACGGGTGCTTGTGAGAATTACGAAGGGCACCGATGCTTGTCTGTGTAGCTCTCACTCGGTATCGGCTTTGCCCGTCTCACGTTTTAGCGGGAAGTTCATACGAATCAAAGGATGAGAAGGAGGACCGCCTTTTGTACCATCATCTGCAAAGGTTCCTGCGACCACCCTCCGAAGCGCTGCAGGGTGGCTGGGGCTGGGGAGGCGGGAAGGGGGCTCGCCCCTCTCAGCACACAAACCCGCAGGGCTTATCAGCCTCGGGCACGGTTTTCCAGCCCCGGGCCATCACAGGGATGACAGCCTGGTACAGGTATGCCTCCCCTTTCACTTCTGCCGGGCGGTGGATTGGTCTCGGCCCCTTAACGCCCGCTCTTCCCCTCACGGCGACCGGCGCCACCTCCTCCCGGCCCTCAGCAACTCGCCCCGCCCCGCCGCGGCCCCGGGCCCGCTACTCGCCCTGGCTCCTCCCTTCGTCGCTCCGGTTGCGGCGGCGTTTCCGTCTGCCGGGAGCGACATGGCGGCGGTAGCGGCTACCGCCTTCTCCTATTCCTCCTCCTCCTCCGTGCTGCGCCCGGCCTTGGCGCCGCTGAGGAGATGGCGAGCCCTCTCTCGCCCGCCTCCCCGCGCCGCTTACAGCACTAGCAGCTCCCCTCGCAGCGCCGCCAGGTACGCCGCGCCTCTCGGGGCACCTTCCTCCTCACCTTCCTCCTCCTCCTCCTCCTCCCGGTGTTCTGAGGGGAGCGTTCTGGGGAACGGCGGGCGCCGCGCGCGCCCGCGCCGCCGCCGTTTAACGGTCGCGCTGGAAGCCGGTGGGCGCGCGGCGGGCGCCAAACGCTCGAGGGGAGCAGAGAGCAGCGGGGAGCCCGGGGGCTCCGGGGTGGCCGCCGCTGGCCCCCGGCTGAGGTGCGGTTCTCCCCGGGAAAGTGGGGCTCTGCGGGGCCTGTGCTAGCGGGCGGAGGTACCGGCAGGGAGGGTGGGCTGCCGCTCCGGCCGTGCTGATTCAGTGGGGGTTAAAGGGTGCTCTGATGTGAGGGAGCCCTTGCGATGCGGCCTTCCCGCCTCTTCCCCGCCGGCAATCTGCAATTGAACATTTGTTTCCTCCTGGTGCCTTAAAGAGCCTCTCAGTTGGTTTAGATAGAATTACTACATATGTTAATTGATTGGCATCTATGATTATTTTTGCTGATGGTCAGTATTTAAATCTTTGATGAAGAATATTACTGTCTCTATGAAGGGACTTGTGATGGTGACAGACCATCCCATGTCATCTCGCTGTCTTCAGCAAGGCAGGTGGTGTGATACCATGGTGCTCCTTTGTTCTTGAATAAATATAAAAATACAATTTTAAAAATAAAAATAAATTAATAATAACTTCAATAAATTAAACTCATGTGGTCGTGCTGTGTCTCACGTAGCACTGCAGCAGGCAGGGGTCTGGCAGTGTTTGCTGAAAGCCTGGATCCTTAGGCTGAGCAGGATGTGCTCCAGTGCTGCAAGGACTAGTTTCCTGACAACTGTTACCCTGTGTGTTGCATATAATGTGCTAGCTGGGCTGAGCCTCTCGTCTTGCGGCACGGCATCTATGCACAGTTGTCTGGGTATGCACGGGAGGGTTTCAGCTGAGTTGATGCGTGCCAGCCTTTTTATTGATACTGCAGTTGTCTTAAATACTGTCATGAAAGTTTGCTCAGTTCAGCAGGTCACAGCTAGCCTACACTGAAAGCATTGTCTTTGCTCTGTGTTTTCAAGCACAACAAGATCAGCAGGGCATACGTGACAGTTGAAATAAGCATGTGACCTTCCAGATACATTGTACAAATTTGACTGCCAGTTTTGGCACAAACAGCTGTATTTCTGGAACAGTACATGCTTGCTTCTGTTCTTTACTGCTAGTAACTGTTTTATTTCCAGTTCTGCAGAAATTAGATGCTTTTGCAATGATGATTTTGTAGAGGTTTTCATGTGGTATGTATGGGACTGAGAAGATCCCATTGTGATGCCCCATATGATTTGGGGCTTTTAGTGTATAGGTTGATCTAAAATAGCAGCTGACATCTTTGTTTTTGTAATGTCCTGCAAGTCTCTGGATGCACTGACAAGAAGGATTCAGTATGTGAACTGTTCTGTTGTAAACTCGGTGCATTGACACCTGATTGGTTTCCTTTTTTAGTATTTGCATTTGAACCCAGAAATGGCTTCTGCTTTTTAGCCACTGGCATTTAAACAAGTTTCTTTTAGTAACTTGGTAGGTAGCAAGAATATTGTGTTGTTGCTTTGGTGCTGCTAAAATATGTAGACAGTTGTTTTTTTTTTTTTTTCCAGAAGTGCTGGCAGCAGCTGTCTGTTTACAAATATGATTTTAGTTAAGGAAAGAATTATTTTCAAGAAATGGATGGACTGTGTTATAGGTGGGATGATAGTCCTGGCAGTTTGTTTGTGCTTCTAGGATTTTTTTTTTTTCTATCTGAAAGACTAGCAGAGGGAAGAAGTATCAGAATTCACCACTGTGCATTTCTTCCATATGCTGCCAGGGTGATATTTTAAAATCCTTCATGTTCTACCATCCAAGTGTCTATAAAGTTTAAACAAGTGTCTCTGAATAAATATGATGTCTGCTGGCTTTTAAATATTTTCCCCACGTGTTGAATTGTTAAACATTTCTTGTGTTTGAGTATGCTGATAAACAGACAAATATGCATCGTATTAATATAACAAAACATTAATCATACGTTATTTTGCTCCAATGGCATAGTTTCTTATAGTAGAAACAGAGTGCAAAACTGGTTTTAGACCATCTCAAAGTGTGGTGTTTTGTGTTTGTTTGGGTTTTTTTGTTTGTTTGTTTGTTTGTTTGTTTCTGAATGTTGTTCTAGGTGTGGACTTGTTCATCCCTCAGAATATTGTACAGAAAAAAACCCCAACTGATCAGACTTGCAACACTTTAAAAACCAGTCCCATTTTAACATAAAACCAGAATGCTTTATTTTTTTTGCAAATGTCTTTGAACTACTTTGATCATGGCAAACTGACTCAACATATATTAAACATCAATGTTAAGTGCGTTTGTGTACAGATCTACATGAAAGCTTCAAGCATATGTATTTGCAGAGAGTAAAATGGTTTAGTTCTTGATGTTCAGGATAGTCAGGCAAAGAAAAAAGATTACTTTTGAAGGATGTCAAGCTTTTATTCTCTTAATACCTAATCAAACATTTTTAATTTACTAGGGCTTTTTAAAGTTTTTTTCTTCCCAGGGAGGTTTTTCTTTAGAACTAAACCCACACTTGTGTTACACAATAGGTAATGCATGTTTCCCTGGTATACTGAATTTGTATCCTTGTCTTAAAATTCTAGATGAAATTGTAAACCCACTAGAACTAATAATGATCAAGAAGAAGAATAAATAATGATGTCTTCCTCAAAAAAGAGGTAAAATATCATCACATACTTTGCTTATTTTATGTCCCAGGTAATACAAGTCGAAGAAGCCAAACAGTGGATGTAAGAATAAAATAATTATGGTGGTTAAATTTAATTAATTATAATCTTTCCTAGGAAGAATGGTATGTTGTCTTGTTATATGTGAAGGTGACATAAGCTTTCAAATCTATTTGAAGACTTATACCAGGAAGCATAGAAGAAATGTTGAGCATTTCAACAAGGAAGCATAGAAGAAATGATGAGCATTTCAACCTAAGTGGAGGTTCTTGCAGCAGTGATATCAATAGCTTGGTTACAGGGGTGGCATTTTCAATGCAGAGTTACCGGAATGGATATGTGAAGCGCTTTTAATAGCATAGGACTCGTGACAATGGGAACACTTGGTTTCTGAACCATTATAAAAATTGTTATCTGTGCTCCAAAAAAGATTCACGTTAGTGGCGTTGTACAGATATTGGTAAACTATGGATTGTTGAGCCCATGCTGCTCAAGACGTGTATCATCAGCAGCTGTGAGCTGATGAAGGTGAGGGGGAAGCATTCTTGCCTTAAACAAAGGCAATTTACTAAAATTTAGAGGGGAAAAAAAGTCATAATATTTGCTGTTCTTCCCTTCCTTAAAGGAGAGAACAGTGTATCTGTAACTCGACAGACTCTTTATCTGTAACACTGTAAGATAAAAAGCTGACCTTTCACACTCTCTTTTCTCTTTATTTGGGAATTTCAGTTGCTCTGTGGTTCATGGTCAGTCTCCAAAGCAAAGGCTGAAAGTTTTATCTAAAGATTTCTTCTCTCTGCATTTCATCTTCTTTGCGATTCTCCTTGAGACTTGGAGTCATTTTCATAAACATTTGCCACAAACGTACATGCCATGTACTATCTCCCTTCCCAGCACTTTTAAGTTCTGAATCCGAAAAAATAGACCTACTTTTGGCATGGATACATTTCTTAACTTTCTCCAATGTATCCATTTAGCTGTTATAATGACAGAAGAGGGCAGCCCATTTAAAGTAGGGCCATCTCGTAATTTCTTGCTGAGATATAATTGTTTACTTCTGCATATGTGAACTAACCTGGAATCGTTTTGATCTTCTGTACCTGGGCTGCCCGGGTATTAATTTTTAAGATTAGTCTTAACTTGAACCATTTCTGGTTTTCAAGCAAGTTTTTGTCTTTTACAACTGACTTTCACTGCAGCTTGTAGAACTTACTGTTTGTTGTCTTTGGGAATATCCAGGTGTTGAAGTGCCTTATCACAGTGCCTCCTGGCTAGCATGTATTACATGTGTTTTGTCCTAGCTTAAATGTGTGTGTGTGAAGGGTTTTTTTTCTTCTATATTTTTGTGTGTGTATGGTTTTGCATTTTTAGCACTGTTTCTCTGTTCATTTGCTTTGGTTTTGATCCTTGGATGACTGAGAATATTGAATGTGGTGGGATGAGAATGGTCAGATGTAAGTGAGGACGCATCTTGAGACCTGAGTGAGCCTGCGGTTAGATTTTGAGGAGGCATGCACTTAAAATTGGATGCTTAAAGATTAGTCAAACTTATAATTTAGAGTAAAAAATAGCATAGAAATGCAATGCACATTCATATGGATTGAAAATACTTTTTGGCACCAAAATATTGTTAAGTCCTTGGATTCTGAAATGTATATATCATTGTTACGCAGGTGAGCATTAATTATTTACCTGGCATAATGAGTACATGGAAAGAAGTGTCTAGTGCCAAAGCTAAAAGGTAAATAATGAAAATGAGAGAAAGACTTATATGAAAATGAGCACATACAGAGCAGGCCATACAGGAAAAAAATAAAACCACATCTGTTGACTTAATTGTTTTTCTTAAATATATATATATAAAGTTAAACAGTACAGAAACTTGTGTTTGGGAAGTTGCTAGGGCTGGTGTAAAATTGAAGGAAACAAAGTATTCATGTTTTTTTGTGTGCTAAGTATGTTTCTAATACTTTGCTTTTCTGACAAATAGTTGGGTAAATTGTTCTGAGAGAGTGTGTTTGTGTTTTGTTGGTTTTTTTTTTTTTTATGCTAGGCACTGTGATTTTTTTTTTTTTTAAGTTATAATGGCACCAACAAGATGTCATTATAACTCGTCTGGAGTCCTTGCTGAAGTATGTCAGTTACAAATGGTAGTCCTGTTGCACTCAATTCAAAGCAGAGGTTATAATCTGTGTGTGCATATACATGTAGAGCTCTTCGTCTCAAACAAGGAAGTGAAGAATGTTTTTAGAGGGGAAACCCTCTCCTCCTCAAGCTTACTTTCTAGTAAGTAAGATCAAGTAACCAGACGATGGGCTTTGGTTAGGAGCTGATGAACCAGGAACCTGTTTTTTCTTACAGTGCTGCGCGGTTGTGCTCATTAGGAAAGGAGTGAACGTGCCCACTAGTAGCTTTGGCTTTGTGTCTGTCTTAGTAGTTTTTCTTCCGGGGAGTTGGTGTTATTTTACTGCATCTTTACAGATGGAATAGTATTTACTTTCTTGTTATAATATCAGATGATTGTTCCAAGAAACACTGTTAACTGTACATATGATGCTGGGATTCTTGGACTTTGTTTGAGAAGATGAGGGGTTCAGTTAGTGAAGGAGGTAGTATAGATAAAAGCTTGAAATGTGGTGGAATATGTTCCATGGATGCATACAAGGTGAGGAGCACCTGTGCCTGCTTACAGTGAGTGGACAGGCAGGAAGATGAAGACTCCAGAGACAAGGAGAACAACCAAGGTAAGATCAAGCTGACACTTGGAAGATCTCAATGAAATAGTACTTCAGGAAGTGCTGTTCAGTCAAGATGCACTGGATCTTTGAGCAGTTAGCTGGTGAAGTGAGCCTGGGAAGTTGATAGATGACATTAAGAGCTTTAGCAAAGGGTAAGTCTCAATATTGTTGTCGCCAAAGTGTCATTCAAGGGTGAGGGTAGGGTTTGTAAGATTAAGGAATTCGACATCTGTTCCATCCTGCAGTGCCTCTGGAGCGCTGTTAAGGTTTACCTTGCATGCCATTTGAAATAAACTTCCTTTTAAAATACATTTTGGGGGTTGTCATGTTACTACTTACAAGTTGTTCATTTTTCTGAGGGAGGTGGGCAGTAGTAGAAGTTAGAGAGTTGCATACTAATATTTCCAATCCAGAAAAATGCATTTTGAGGTGTCTTGCTCTTCTTCAGTAACCTAAAATGTAGACTGGATTTCTTCATATATCTGTCAGATATGGAGGTTAAGTTTGGATGATTTCTTTAGGTAAGACCATAGCCAGTCTGTGATTTTGCATGGTCTTGTGGTTGTCCTGTCTTGTGTGGTGTTGTCATGGCTGCTCTTCCCCCACACTTTCCTTTTTCCACACCCTTGTGCATTTAGCTTCTTTGGTCATGAAGATTTACTAATAATGATTGAAACTGCACAAATTTCTGAAATGAATAAAATGCAACTTAATCTTTTTGGCTTCTTAAAGTTATGGTTTTGAGTATTACAGAATACCATGTTTTAAACCAGATCAGTGATGCAATTCCTTGCTCTATAGCTTTCTGTCTCTTGCTGCTTTCTCCCATTTAAGCACCACCACCACCAAGCAATAAAGTTAGTATTTAAAAACTGCTTATCTGATAAAAAAGGAATTAACATCATAGCATCTGAAAGTTATACATGCTGGACATTTCTTGCTTGTTGGGGGGTGGGGGGTATTTTCCACATCCTTGGTTGGGATGATGATCACAGCAATGAGAGAGGGAAAGAAGGGCTGTGAGCAGTTCTGGGACAAGTTCCAGGCACAAGACTCAGCGTTCCTTTGCTTTTCTGCAGGAGTAGGCTAATGGTTGTGGGCCCTTCACCCTGGGAGGATGTTTGTCTGCTGTAGTGCTGGTTGAGAGGCAGGGGGAAGTTACTGAAAGGACAGGGAATTGAAAGGACAAAAGTGGGAAGGTCGAGACATAAGCTCCTGGATCACTGGCTTATATGAGTTAAGTCCTAAGAAAGCTGAGAAGTAGTATCATCTAGGCTTGGACAAAAGAATAATGAGAATAATCCCGTGTCAAATGGATTTTTGGAAGAGATTTGGGAATGGAGATGGGTAAAAATTCCTTAAAACATAAAAACTTAAGGGCATAAGAATGTTCTCATATTCTGTTCCCAAATGCAGGAGTTGATAGATATGTTCAACCTGGCTGGTGATGTGTTGGGAAGGTGGGGCATGGCAGGTGAACTCCTCTTCTGTATGCACTGATGGCACATTCCTGCTCTTCAAACAAGAGAGCGGGGAGACACTTCTTTCCCTGGGTGGATTTGTAGTGTGTTAGTGTTTTTCAAATAATATTTGAAATACTAGCAAATTAGGTGATCAAAGCATTTGCAAGTATTTAATGCAGTAGTTCCCACACTTAAAAGTGTCTTGTTGATGACATTTTAGACCTAAATATTGTGTCTTTTTGTCTTTATAGTGATGAAGCAACCATTATCTCAGGGACTAAGCTTGCTAAACAAGTTTTGAAAGAAGTTCAAAGGGATGTAGAATCATGGATATCCTTCGGAAACAGGAGACCTCATCTCACTGTCATATTAGTAGGAGACAATCCAGCTAGTCATATCTATGTCAGAAACAAGATAAAAGCAGCTGCAGCTGTAGGTATGTGTTATGTAACATAAATGATCCTTTCATAAGCACAAGATACTGTTATTTAAAAACAAAAAATAAAAAAAAGTGGGAGGAACCCCCTTCATATCTTGATTTAATATTGCACTGTTTTCTTCCTTCTCCGATGAACCTAAAGAAAAGGAGTTGAATTGACATGTGAAGAAAGTAGTTTTAGTGACACGTGAATGGTAGACATAAGTTCAGTTCTGTGTCTTAAGATGTTAGGAAGCAGTTTCCACCCTGACTGTTAGAAACTGGAAATTAATGAACATTGGGCAAGTTTTTTGACAGTTAAATGTCTTAACTAGTGTTGAGAGGCTTGCTGAATAAAGATAATCAGAGAGAAAATATGTCAGCTTTTAGTTGTTTCTGCAAGACACTATTATTGAATGTGAAATATTTGCTTAAGAGCTTGCCTCCTCAGTGCCTGGTAGAATCCTTTTATATGTGGATTTTTCAGCCTACCTCTAATTGTGGCAGCAAACCCTGCCACCCCAGAATTGATGGGAACAGTGATTAAGTAACCAGTCTCACAGGAAGATACTGAGAGCAAGCCTTTTTCTTGATATTGTCAATAATTTCTTCATAATATCAATCTTCATGTGCATCTGCTGTATCTCATGGAATATCTGTCCTGTTGAATGCTTTAAGTCCCTGGTAGAGCCAGGCGAGCCAATCCAAAACCAAGGCTTCGCAATTCTGAATATGAAAGGCAAAATTTCAGACATAATGAAATCCAACAGTAAAGCTAAGTGACTGATTAACTGGGATAAAGCCCAGTCACTACATCATCTCATCTCCAAATGATAGAGTATCATGCTGTCAGTGAAACTGCAATCTTGTGGAGTAACTTGGAAAATGTTCTTTTCTAATGAGTTTTGTGCCACAGAAGTAGAAAAGCTATCAGATAAAATGCTAGTGATGCTAGTGTAGCTTTATCTGTTCAGTTTTAGTTGTAATTCTCAAGAGCAAATTTGTAGAAAAGTTACATGCTTTATTTTCCAAATACTTCTAAACTGTTCCTTAATTATGGAGTTAGCATGCCCAGCTATAGATTTATTTTTTTTTCTCTGTATTTTTCATTCTGATATTGTATTTGACATCTAGAAATACAGCATTAAACATGATACAGCAGAAGCAGAATTTTTAGCAGGTCTTACGTGGTTATTTAAAACAGTTGTTAATCATTGGACATATTTTTAAAAAAAATGACTAAGCTGTCGATAGATATATTTCCTGATAGTAATATATGTCTTCTGGTTTTGTTTTTTATCAGGCATTTCTAGTGAGATCATACTGAGGCCTAAGGACATTTCTCAGGAAGAACTCTTAGATATGACGGTAAAACTCAACAAGGATTCAGCAGTTAGTGGTTTATTAGTTCAGCTACCTCTCCCAGGTAGGTGACATCTTTTGTCTCACTACTCGTGTACAGTCCATGTAAGAGGAAAGACTTTGTCAATTTTGGGTTGCAAGTGTGTATTAGTGACATAAGAAGCTCTTGAAAGGGGACATGCATAATGAAAGATTAGTTGAGATGTAACATTTTTTGTTGTATAGTAGCCTGCAGTTCATTTTAAACAAAAATCCAAATTAAATCATGAGAATCATTTCATATTGTCAACCTTGCCTTTTTTAAAAATTCAGTCAGAATGCCATTTCAAGGAATTTCCCTCCACATATACACTTTATCCAGTTTATTTCTCTTTCTTGTTTTTTAACATGTTGCACCATTTTGCCTTGACCTCTGAGACCTTTGCCATATTTTCATCTCCTATGTCATGCCAAGTTATGCTGTCTAGCAGATGATGCTACAGCCTTTCTCACAGTGATTCCAGGTTTTGCCTTAAACATTTTTTCTTGTTTTCTATGCTGTCCCTAATGTTCCAGGTGAGTTTTGTGTTAAGGTCCTAAAAGCCTCTGCTCTTGTTTTTTTTTTTCCTTCTCTTAATTTGCAAGAAAATCTCACTAGAATATTACTTGGCTGTAGCTGACAAAATGGTGTTTTAGCAGTGATAATAGTTGCAGTTTTCATCTAAATCTATGTAAGTCAATTTAGTTAAACTACTATATGCTTCCTAATAGAGTGGTGCCTAAATTACTAGGATCATTGTAATAAATTGACTGGCATGTTGGGTTTCCCCTGTCTGTTTCCTAGCATTGTCCTTTATCATACGTTTGTCCTATATGCTCTGAAGGGCATGAGCTATTTTTTTGGCATGTGCAGGCATGATTTCTAGCACTAGCTGGAACTCCAGGGGTTATTGTTTATAAGTATCTCAGATGATAGTAAAATTGAAGCTTTGTTCTAGATAAGGTCTTAATTTCCATTCTTATTCCTAGTCTTGGTCTTCACCTTGAGACAGTTCTCACTACCTTTATTTTGTGTCTATGAAACTGAAAAAATTGGGGTGTGTGCTGAGCATTATAGAGTAAGACATGATTTGTTTGTACTTATAATAAACATCAGTGTTTGTGATTAGCAAGTTTTGTGCTTTGTATGATGTGAAAGCTAACTGAAATCTGCCACTTGTTGAATTAAATAAGTTGGCCACAAGGTGGAAGTATAACACAAGTAAGGAGAGCGGAATCTTGGACACCAGGTAAGGATCTCTGGGAGCTGAGGGAATGTGGTCGGTTTACTTTGAACAAACATCTCTCCGAGTAAGAGCAGATTAGGGGAAACAGGTAACAAATTTTCATTTCACTAGTAAGAACTTATGCAAAAGATGGAGCACTCATAGCGTAGGGATAGAAATCCTTCTGTCTGAAGCATGTAGCAAAGGAAACACACTCATCCACTGGACTCCCAATGCACTGTTGTTTTCCCAGAAATGAGAGGTGTCATGAGTCACTTGTCTTGCTTGTGTGGGTACTCAGTAAAATTGTTTAGGTACCACTTGCAGAAATGCATTTTTTTGAGGCGGCTATCAGGTAATTGCATTCTGCTCTTAAGCTGTCTGCCTTTATCGATACATTGTTCAACAACAGAACTAAGTCTTGAAACTTAGTGAACTTAAACCTGTTCAACGTTTGAAAAGAAAATAACCCTGAAGATAATGATACTTGCGTCAATTCAAATGTCTGATGCTAGTACACTTAAATGCTTAAGCCCTAAAGTAATTGGTTGAAGATCCCTCTCAAGAACTATGGTAAGTCTGTCACACTAACTATGTGAAAACTAATTGGCCTTCCTCTAAACTATTAAATTTGCTAGTTTGAGGCCTGGCTGTTGCCTGCCTTAGTAAAAACCTTAGAGTAATGTAGTCAATAGCAGAATTTCTTCAGTACTGCATTGTCCATATAGTAAAGTTAAATATGCAAGTTATCATGAACTGAAAATGTTCAGGAAATTCATTCCATAATTGATGTCAGATATAACTCTGACTGAATTATTTTTTTACTCCCAAAGGAATTTCAGAAACAGGAAGGCAGAAAGCTAAGTAAGCTCATTTTCCAAAATACATCTGATTTGCTATGTAATGGAAGGAGATAAAGCCTAGAAGCTGTGGAAACTTTTATCAGTAGAGACTGCTTATTCCAGAGTTGAAGCTGTGTGGGGTTTTGGTTTTTTCACAGTGAAGCACACACAGGTGTGGCTTTTGATCAACACTGGGATAAAAATAGAACCAGAAAATAGCTTTGTTCTCTTTCACTTTTGTGAGCTGGAACAGCTTAACTTTGAGGATTGTCATCTTTGCCTGAGGAAAACTTCCTTTCTGTGCACCTTTTGATTGCATTGCTTCTGATGTGGTAATGGTTTTGTGGAGAGTTTCGTGTATCTTCTTTAAATTTCCTGGAAGATGGCTATGAAATGTTAGATATTTATTTGAGATAGAAAATTTTGAGGTTTTCATATTCTTAGTTGTAAACAGCAAAGAAGTATGAGACAAATGAGTACAAACATGATGTGCCTCTGTTGTGAAAGACTGTGCCAGACTAAGTGCAGCCTGCTTTGGTGGACCTAACTGGTAAAATAATAGCAGTGTCTCAGTATAGCTTCTCAGAATTATTTCCAGAGAGCTCACTGCTGCTGCTGAACAGCGTCCTCCATGTCTGTATTTCTTGACCCATATGGTATGGTTTTTAATCCCTTTTGTGCTGTGTTTTTATTTTCATCAGTCTTCCATTTTGAAAACCAGTCTTTATTTTTCATATGTCCACATTAGAAGCACATGCTGTGTATTGTATAAACAAGCATTTCTCTGTGTGCGTGTGTCAGAGTAGCCCCTTGTTGTCTTGCAAGTTGGATTAACAAGTGAAACAGTGAGTGCAGAGAGGAGCTTGGAATGACAGCAAGTTTGTATGAATATCAGTTGAGAGGAGGCTAAGCGTGTTCTATGAGACTGACAGTAATATACTTAAATTATTTTGTTCTTCTGGAAGTAAATGGGGCTATCTGCGGTTAAGGGGAAACAAACCAGGAAAATACATTTCTTGAGGCAAATAAAATTTATTCATGAAGGAGCATAGTGGCTGTCTATACAGTTTGAATTGGTTTTGTTTGTTTGTTTGGGAGTGGCCTGCCAGTGGTAGTGTTTCAGAAGTGTTTCTGATGAGGAAGGGAAAGTGTCCACATCCTCTTTTCTCAGGCCCATGTCAGCCTCCTTGTCCCTAGCTATGTAGCTGTGTTTTTTCCCAGCACTACGTGCCTTTTTCTGAAATGCTGCTAATCAGTTTTGAGTGAGGGGGAAAATCCATGTAAAGCATGATTTCTTTCCCTTTTACATGAATGTATCGATTATCTGCCTATTTGTGGAAGGATAAAGACAGACAGCAATGAGGAAGTGTCTGTCAGGGCAGCATTCTGCCCTACCCCAGGCACAAAGAAAAGCATGGCTGCCAAGTTTTTGTTTGATGAATAACTAACTTGCCTAAGGTTAACAAATTTTCTTTTGCAAAAACTGTTTAATTAGGTTACTTCAAATTTTATTGTGTTTTGTTTGGGGTTTTTTTTATTCCCCAAGTTGACATAAAGACAAAATTATCGTTGCCTTCAATCTGAATTAGGCTAGTTTGACTAATAAGAGACTTTCATCAATGTACTTAATATCTTAATTTCTGCAGACCTTTCTCATTAGGATTCAGAAGGAAACTTCCATCAGAATATGGAGAATTAAGTTGTAAATTATAACAGTCTGGTTTAACTCTAGGGGTTTTTTAATTGGAAATCTTTTAACAAGAAATTACCACATTTTAAGTTTTATAACATACATGATATCTTTTAATTAGCTAGCTCCTTTAATGCAAAATCACAAAATACCTAAGTAGAGCTAGTTGAGTACTAAATTCAAACATCCTATATATGTCTAGAAAATGTTTTTACTGGGTATGTCTGAATTCTGTAATCAACACTCATATCCCTTTGTTTGGCTTTTTTAAACATCCCATTACACTCTCTGAGTTGGCTATTGGGATATATTGCCTCACAGTTGCAGAGTTCTGTTAGGGATCTAGGCTAGAATGGGCTTAGTATCATTATATAAAAGATGCAAAAAATAATAAATCTGAGATGGAAGTAAAGCTGGAAGTGTAGTCCTGGAAGCAGTTTGGAACGTTATTAAACAATGAAGAAATAGACCAAAATGCCCCTGCTCATTGCAGGGGGATTGGACTAGATGGCCTTTGAGGGTCCCTCCTACACAAACTATTCTATGATTTGAAAATTGTCACTGAGGTACGACTGGGTGAATACATTTATTAAGCAAAGTTTGCTTTGGGGACATTTTGTAGAGCCGTTCCTCTGGAGTGGTTTCACGTATGCAAGCTTTATTCCTGAATTTATAAGTTTGCAGAGGTAGGACAGGCTAATGCATATTTTTTTTTTCATAATCAGGACCAACGTTTATGGACTATAAGCTTTAAGCAGTTGCAGACATACCCCATATAGTGCATATGAAGAATGTTCATTATGAATAGATACGAATAATAAATTACATGCAGGTATCATCATTTAAGCCATACTTAGTGTTTCAAACTCATCAATATCAACCAGATTGATGGGTTCTCACATTTTTTTAATGAAGTAGCATATGTTTTGGTCCTGCTGATTAGCAAATTACTAAAAGATGTTGTATTGTTGTAAAATGGAAGATGAAAGCTAGACCTGCAAAGTTATTTCAGCTTAGGGTTTCTGTACATTTGTTTAAAACTTAGATTGTATATCCTTTGTGACCTCAGAGACAGGTAACATAGATGATAATTTTTCTCATGATTTTTTTTGAGCCAGTTGATAATTAACACTTCTAGAATGCAGAAGTGACTCTGAAGTGTCTTGCTTAAACATCTATTTTTATAGTTACTTAAGTCATCGTTCTCAGCCGAGTGTTGGCCTCTCGTATTTTGACTGAATCTGTCAGAAACTGAATAATTTAATTTTCAGTACGTGACTTTAAAAGGTGACATTGTAACTGCTGCCTTTAGAAGGGGAGTGTAGTTTATTCATAATGAATAATAATAATTACCCTAGCTAGACCAAATTTGTGTGTTTCTCTGTGTAATGATTCAGATAGTATTGATGACACCTGACAAGTGAAAGAAGTGTAATTTGAAAGCAATGTGTTTCCTAGATCACATAGATGAAAGAGCAGTTTGTAATGCTATCACACCTGAAAAGGATGTGGATGGATTTCATATTATGAATATTGGACGTCTGTGTCTTGATCAGCCTTCTATAATACCTGCCACGGCTGCTGCTGTGTGGGAAATTATAAAACGAACAGGTAAGAAACTGAACTGTATTGAAACTCCTTTTATCTCGGAAGATGAAGGAAGGATAAAGTCAGGTGTGAGTTAAAAGGTGTGGGTTATCTAAATGTATTGGGCTGATTGAAGAACAAACATTTGGAGGATTAATCTAAATAAAAAGGAGGTGCCAAATAGATCAAATCTTTCACCAGTAGCATAACTATTAATTAAGTGTAGACAGTAGTCCGCATAGAATACTCGTTGAAACACATTGGTAACTTACTTTCTGCATTTTATGATGTTGCAAGGAACTTTCTGTGATATTGCTGACCTCCTCCTGATTATCTATCAAATAGAAGATAGGAATGCATAAATTCTTGGGGGGGAAGAAACCAGAACAAAACCAGGAATGGTTAATTCAGTACTACAAGGGCAAAAGAATGCCTATGTATTCAAAAGTTGTCATTTTATAAGTGTAATGCATGTGTTCTTAGTGGTGGACATAAGAGCTTCCATTTCCCTTTGTGGTCAGAGAAGAGAAATTAAGTCCCTCTGAAGGGTGATTCAGATAACCTGAATGAGTTGCTAATTTTGTTTCTCTAAGGTGAAAGCTGAAAGTTGTTTTGTGGATTCATCCTTCAAGTTCAGCCTTGTGGATCTGCAAGTCATGTTGATGTCAGCAGTCCACATAATTTGGGGATTTAGAAGAAGGGTTTAGGTATATCAAAATAATGGAGTACCATTTTTTGATTTGTTTTTTTCCTTTCTGATTTTTTTCTTCCTATTAGGAATACAAACATTTGGAAAAAATGTTGTTGTAGTTGGAAGATCTAAGAATGTTGGAATGCCGATTTCAATGCTTTTACATACCGATGGCGAACATGAAAGGCCTGGAGGTAAGTCCATGAATGTTGTTTTAATGTTTCCATTTGTGAAATTATTAAAATAAAGGTGAACAGAGGATTCAGATAAAAAGAGAAAGCTTTTGTCTCTTGTACAATATTTGTAACCAGAGCAAGGAAATCAATTTGCTGATGTATTTCCTGACATATTCTCAGGAGGGCTGTATCTGGAGTCAATTTCTTCTGGTGTTATGTCATCATTTTGTCCTCCATTTGAAATGGCTGCTGATTAAACATGGTTAGCACTGATTACTGAGGAGAATACCTGGTGGTGTGGCCTTAAAAGAGCTGTGGAGGTTCATGTGATGTTTATATGATGTAGTATAGCTATATGCCTTTTCCTCATGGTTATGTAATATTAATTTAAAGTTTTTCCGTACACACACATGCACATACACATATAGCTATATATACATACACACATATATATATATATTTACATTATATGAAATGATTCCTGTGTTTTACTGGGTTAGTTAGGTGGTGGTTATGAAAGTGTCCAAATGACCAACAAAGTAACTTTTCAATGTGAGCTCTATGACATTACACACTGGCCTGGGGAATTTTTCTGCAGTGCAGTTTATATCTCCCTGGAAATTGGGGGTTGCAATGGAAATATTTTTAAGCAATTCTAATTATAGAAGCATGCATGTGCTGCTATAGTTGTGCTATAAAAAGCAAAACAAATAAAATTTCAACAAAATACTGTCCTTTTGCAACTTCATTTTGATGTTAGAAACTGCCAAGGTGGTGTGCACAAATGAGGTAAACACGAATGTTTAATCCCAAGCATACTTAATAGGAGTGGACTGAAATCTGTTATTAATATAATAAAACGCTAAAAGCTTCTTACTAATCACAGAGTTGTTTTTATTCCATTCAGCCTCTGTGGGAAAGTTGTTATTTGAAATTTCTCTCAGTGTTTGAATGGTAATTACCATCAGTGCATAGTTCTGGTCTGTTCCCCATTCCCATGAAAATTAGCAGCATTTTTGCCATTTGCTGCAAATACTGGGTTATATATATTACTGGCAGTGCAGTTACACAAAACAGAATTACGTTTCAAATTACTTGCACATTTCTAACATGGAAAGGAGGAGATCTAGTGACCCATGATTCTTTCAGTAACTTGTTACAAGGCACATACTAGTTTCATGGATGTTTTTTAGCTGTAAATAAACACTGGCTTGTAGCTTTCAGTTTTTGCATTAGTTGGATTTATGACTCAGTTTTGTTTACTTGCATCCTGGGTTTGTAGTTCTTACTTGACTGCCTGGTAGTACGACTTGTTTTAGGGGGCTAGTCTATGAGTTTCTTGGCCTCTGAAGGAACTTCATTGTGCTTCACGGACACCTGCATATGTTCAGATTCCTGGTACATTACACGTTACTTCACTGGTATTCCTATTTATTGGCATTGTTGTTGATGTATGTGAAGTATTGTATGTGGAGACAGAAGAATATTCAGATATTCCCTTACTGACAATGACACTGGAGTCTAAACGTAGAAAGAGTTATTCAGGTTATCTTTGTTTATTCTGAAGAAATTGATTTATTTTTAAGGTAGTTTTTCTTTTTTTTTTCAGCCTGCCAAGTGGTAGTATACAGTATAAAGCACCTGGCAATGAGAAAACAAAGGAACATTTGTACTTCCTTTGTAGTAAATTAGCATTAAGTATGTATTTGTCGTGTACATGATGATAAATACTTTCATAGTTGGGGTAGTCTAGTATAGTTTTAATTCCTGATTCACAGATGGGGCTGTCCTTGAAGATCTGCTTGGTCTTCTGTAGTTAGCTTTCTTCTCTGCTTCTGCTCCCAGCAGCAAGAGGCCGGCCTGGATGGCATGTGGAAGGGAAGGCAAGCTAGGCAGTGGTTTCAGCTTTACTTCAAAGCTATTGGAATTACCGGATGTATCATGACAGAGAAGAAACTGAAGGCAATTGAGGTAAAGCTGAGATAGACAGTGAAAGAGAATGCATAAAGCTAAAGTATACTGAGGTCAAGGAGGTAGAGCTAAAGGAAAGACTGGAAATGTGGATGTAATACAAATAGTACCTTGAATGGAATAATTCTTTCCACCCATTTACTTAGCAGCTAATAGCAGGGCAAAATTTGTGCATTATGATCAGAGGCAGCAGTCAGGATACAAGATGAGGTAGCTTTAGGAACTGTGGTAAGTTTCTCAATGGAAGTGTATTTTGGAGTTGAAAATTGCACATTGGATTTGCTAATTTTGTATTTTACCAAACAAAGTCAGGTTTCCTTCTTAAGCATGTGTTTAGAAAAATTTTAACCCATTAATACAAATTAAGTGTTTGAGTGTTTGTTGGGGTTTTTTTTGTTTGGTTGGTTGGTTTGTTTTTTGCTTGTATGGGGTTTTTTTAGTTTGTTTGTTTGTTTTTTGTTTTTTTTTTTTTGTTTTGTTTTTTGGTTTTTTTTTTTTTGTTGTTGTTTTTTTGTTTGTTTTTGTTTTGTTTTTTGTTTGTTTTGTTTTTTTTTTTTTAATTCAGGGCCATAGGGACCAGACAAGACCTACCGTTGAGTGCTGAAAAAGCACTTTCTCAGGTTATCAGTCAAGATAGGATTTTATCGGCATGTGGGCTGATTTCATTAAATTGTGATAATTGAAAAGTGATGTAAGGTGTGTGTGTGTGAGAGATACTGTTTTTTACTTTGGTTTTGGTTTAGGTTTTAGTTGTGGTTTTTTTACAGATTATGGACAAAATTGAAAAACTGGGGTCTGTCTTAATCTGTGGTGTTTTGTATGTAGAAACCATAATGTCCTGCAGGTGGCAATATCTGATCAGATGGGGAGCTATCTGAACCCTTGCAAAACAAACTGTGTTTTGTGTAGGTAGGTCAAGAGACCATCTCTATTCTAAGCTAGTGAATTGATTCAGCAGTATCATGCAGAATCTTAATTGCTAAATTCTTCTTTCAGCAGAAGTAGCAGTGTAAAAATAATGACTTATTTTCTGTTTTGGCGTGATCACAAACAAATGGAAAACCTACCCTTTCTGAGGTGTTTGTAAGCTTCTGGACTTTATTCTGAAGGTAGGGGTTTTTTTTGTTTGTTTGTTTTTTCTTTTTTCTTTATTCCTTATTTGTAGTGATCACAATTGTTTTCAGGAGCTGACTACAGACACATTCCTCACTAAAAGCTTGATGGGAAAATAGTACTGATTTTGTTTCTCAGAAGGGGTGAATATTTCTAACTTTGGGGTTTATACATTGGTTTTTCTTAGTCTGTCTGCTGACTACAGTACAAGAGGTCAAAAGAATTTCATTGTATTTTTTTTTTTGAAGTAATAACGGTGATTTTGGGCAAGACATCCTTGTTCTTTTGTTTAAAATAGGTGTCAGAAGACTCCCCTGTTTTACTCAAGCCTTTCTTTCTAGAATTCAGTGATAAGTCTATTTGCCTTCCATGTGTGAAGGATGGCCTTTCAGAGAATCTCTTAGTGTGATTGATAGAGCATTAGCCAAGAAAAGGAAGGTGTCACATCAAATAGATACGGTTCTTCTGCAGGGGACCAAGTGATCTGTTATTAATATGTTTGGAGAATGAGGCCTCCAAAGAGAAACTCCAACCATCTATACAGCCTGTATGCTGCTCACTCAAAAGAGTATATGTGTGGCCTACATACGAACAAATCAGCAGCTGAAGACATGCTGCTTTAGATGAGCAGAATGAGGAGTACCAGTGAGTAATACTTCAGTCCTGTTCCGATTGGTTTGTATGAATTGTTATTTCATGATCCCAAAGGTATTCAAGGAAGAAAGCTGAAGGAATCTTGACATGCATGCTATGTGTACTGGCTGGGATGTTGCTATCACAAGAAGGGTTACCGTGGAGATGTTTTAAAGACAATTAGATGTCTAAGCCCTCGATGAACTTAAATTCATGGGAAGTTATAGAAAGTTGGTGAAAGACTTCTAACTTCTGGTAATTTCTCTTATTTCACGGAATCGCTTATACATATCTGTACTTTTCTGTTCTCATTATGTGAAGATGTCTTCATCTGCTTCTCTTTGAGGAGACTGTATGCACTCTAGAGACTGAAGGAGAAGAGGGATCAAATATGAGGGGAAGGAGCAAAGGAGTCAGAGCATGGACATGTTGAAGATGAGATGCTTGAGGAGGAGAGTTAATGAGATGAGAGGCATGGGTTAGATCAGTCAAACGCATTCCAGAGGAAGAAGCAGATGTGGTGGTAACCTCTGAGATGGCAAAAACTTTTAGTTTAATGGTTAATAATGTGGCTAAGGAGTCTATGGTGAGTGAGAAGTGGAGATGGGACTATGTAACACCAGAACACTGTGCAGTACAAGTAGCTAACAGGGAGGAAGAGCATTGGGAGGAGTCTCCTTAGATAGCTGTTATCATTGCTGTTTTCTTGGGCAGTCCTTGAGGGATCCCCATGGTTACTGTTGAATGCAGTATGAGGCTTCAGTCCCTATCCCCATGACAACTCTTTTTTTTTTTTTTTTTTTTTTTTTTTTTTTGCGTAGTGGTCTCCTCAGTGTCTCCATCAGAGAGCACAAGGCTTTTCATGTCTTACTAGGAGGGTTTATTTGTAGCTTCTTGCCAAGAAATGTGGATACATGCAGAAGCAGGCCCCAGATCTTTTGAGTTTGTCCAAAAGGATGTGTGCTTCTTTTTGAGATAGCTTCACATACTTCCTACTGTGGTGTGAAGCAAGGGTTCAGCTGGTTTTGTTTTATCAGGAGCTACAAGAGCTGGTAGGATACCTGTAAAAATCTGAGCACCTTTTTGTCCAGTGTTTTCCATTCCTGTTGTTGTGCTTGAGCTACATGAAATTATAGTTTGGAGTGCTTAAGTTTGTGGAAAAATATATGCGTTGGATGTATCAATTCCTTAAGTAGATATGGTGATAAACCTCAGATCCATCCAACTAGAATTTTGTAAACACCGATGCTGCTGTTGCTTGTGTTCCCTATGTCTTTTCAAGAATGCCTTTCCTTGATGAAATCTGGTAGTGTTCCAGTCAAGAGAGGGATTTTGCTGTCTGACCCTTGCATACAATTATTGGTCATCAAGGATTTCTAAGCAAAGACCATGGCCTAGATGTGTCCTTGTTGACATAGCTCCTAGACATATTCACAACACAGTCAGGCCCTACAAAGAGAAGAGCGTCACTTGTCATCATCTGTTGGCCAGAATATCAGTTGTGTTAATACTTGAGAGGGGGAAGAATATCAGTAAGAAATAGTGCCACTTCACTGAACTTGAATTACCAATTTTTCCTTGAGCACTTAAAATCTGTCAAAAACACTAAACTTTGACTCAAGGGAAACGCTATTATGCAGTTAGGTCACAGGTACAGGGAAGACTCTGGTCTTCCTTCCTGCCCGTACAACAGAATGTTAAGGGAAACATCTAGAGAGCTTCAGGACAGATGAATAACAAACACAGTGGAGGACGGAGATCCGAATGTTGTAATCTTGTACTTGAAGCTTTAGTTTTTGACAAACAACTGAGTCTTATGGCACAGTACACACATTGTACTTAAGGTAGACACTGGATTCCATGCTGGGTTTGCTCTGTGTGATTCCACTAAATGTAATGAAGCCAATTAAGGAATAAGTTAGTCCACAGCATATAAGGAAATTAATCCTGTGAGGATTTTTAAGAATAAACGTGTTTTCTGTATGTGGAGCATTCTGCCTATGCTGAAATAAATGATACATCCCAAGACAAATCCGATAATCATCTGTACTGTTGTTAAAGTATCAAAGTCAGTCATTTACACCTGAAAGTAAATGCTCTAGAGGAATTGCATATGTGACAATTAATTGATAATCTCTTACATTTCAGGTGATGCTACAGTGACCATTACTCACAGGTACACACCAAAAGAGCAGCTCAAGATCCATACGCAACTTGCTGACATTGTAATAGTAGCTGCAGGTAATGCTAGTTGTTGTTAATACTCTAAGCATGACTTTTAAAACCTAAAAAGTAGACTTTAGTGTCTGTGTTGGTGGCACAACTAGCTATTTCACGTTTCACCGAATAATTGTGCTCGTGCTTGCTGAGGGTGTTGCATTAAGTAGGATTTCTTGTTGTAAGAAGGGCAAGTGGTTTGGCTCTTTGTTCTTGCCCTTCACATTTGCAGACTCATAAACTGTTTCTCGTCACATGTGACACCTTTCCCTTAGGGAGACTTTAGAGTGAACTCAAGATTGGGAACCAGTCAGTGCATAGTTTATACAGGTATAATTATGTAAATTAAAACATTCTCTGTGCAGTGCAAAAATCATGAGTCATTTAAATTTTGACAGGAGGGTTTCTTCAAATCAGCTGGAGGCTGCATTCATAAAACAATGGTATCATTCCCTTGCTGTTGGAATTAAGGGCAACCTTGCCAAAATAGCTGGTAATTTCGGTAACATGTTAGTAATGGATGAATTTTATTTTTTTTTTTTCTTTCACGGTTATCATGTAAAGAGGAGGAGGATGGTAATTGCCTAGAGGAAGGGATCTGAAAGCAATGTAGAGTGAAATACTTGCAGTTTGACTAGTCTAGAACAAATAAACAAGCAAGACTCTGCTTGTGTGCAGTGTGGTTTTTGTTTATGGATAGTATAAATAGAAATAAAAATTAATTTTAAAAAACAAAACCAAACAATCCAACTTAATAAAATGCTTGGTAAAATTCACAGATCAGGACATCCTTATTCTCTCATATAATTTTGGAGGACTACAAGAGGATTCTATCTTTCCTCTTTTTTGCTTTCTTCCTCCCTTTTCATCAGTCTCAAGATGAGTCTTGCTTACTGATTTTCCAGATGAAGGCAGATAGATACCTGTCTAAAGTTCATCACATCCCGTTGAAGTGAGATGTCCTTTGCTTCAGGGCTTAAATGCAGTATCTCTTTCTCATGCCAGGTCAGGAACAAGGAACAGCTCAGTTGTCCCACATGTAATTAGTCAGCTGTGGGCCTGACCAGAATTCACGCACTGTGAATGAAAGATAATGTGTGCGCTAACTGGCAATAAACTAGTAACTTCTCATCCAAATTCATTCCTTCCAATTTAATCATCACTTCTGATTTTTATGCTGAACATAGTTTGTCATCACTTCTGCTTGTAGTTAAACGGTTCAGTAGCAATTCAGCCATGTTTGTTCTTCACATTATTTTCCTCATGTCATTTGTAACAGGAGCATGATACAACACACATTACACAACATGAGATATACTTGGAATGATGAAAAAACCTAGGGCTAGGTTGTGCAAACAGTATGCAGCCCTGCCCCAGTGGATGCTCTGGGGAAGATTACACTTCAGAAAGGTGGAATGCCTCCAAGTTTCCTTTTGTTACTTGAGAACTGTGCACATTGTACCTTTGGGATCACGCATTGTCCAGAAATGTGTGACCTGTTCAGTGACTGTTGCAAAAAAGGTAACTGCTATGCTGCCAGGTACAAACAGCTGCTGTCCTAGGCCACTGTGCAAGATGTGCCGATGGAAGACAGCTTTTTGTGTGTATCTATATATAAGAGCAAGATTCCTATGCCCGTTCTCCTCTTCCCATGTAATACTGCTAGAAGAGCCATCTGCCTTCTGGCTGCTGGTTTGGTGACCTGTTGCAGTGAGACTGTTCATTCATTCTCTCTGAGGTGTTTTCTGTTCACTCGCATTCGTGGCTTTTGTAACACTTCTTCGTATCAGGTGCTTTTGTTTTTACTCTTGAGTTTGAGAATACCCATCTTCATATGTTGTCTCTCATTCGGCCCCAGCCTTGGGACCCCAGTTTTCCTGCTTACTTTGATTGTAACTATCTGTGCAGTTTATTCCTCCTCTTTTGTTTACCCCCTCCTCCCCCAACTCCTTGCATCATAATTTCTAACAATGCTGCTCTTGTCCAGCCTACCCCTCCCTGAAAATCTGTGTCTCTGCTTCCAGGTAGAACTTCCTAAACTCTTCCAACACCATGCAGCTTTTGCATTTCTAGGCAAAGCATAACATTTCCTCCTAAGCACACCCAGCACTTTGCATCCCACAGTAGCCTTTCTGATCTTTGCCCACCAACCCAGCCTATACGGGCATCCCACAGAGTCTGCTCTTCTTGCCATCAGCCTAGACCTGTAGTAGAAGAATAAGTGCAGCTTTATCTGTAGTGCTTGTGTAGCCACCACAGTACTTCCAGGGTGGTGATGGAGGCAGTAGGCGGCCTTCAACTAGTCAGCTTGCTGCTTCTGCTGTCTTGGCTTTCCAGTCTGCCTTGAGAGAGAAGACTCGTCTGCCTGCTAGGTTTGGGGAGTGGGTAAAAAGGAGAAGGAACGGGGGTGCCAGATGCCACTTGAAATTTTTCTGGGACTACTTGCGCTGTCCCTCAGAAACAGTCTGTGGTCCTCTTGTATAGACATTGCTGATTTGTCAGACCCTTTTATTCAAATAGACGGCTCCTGAGAAAGCTAACAAGCCACTATTTTACAGTCCTTGTACCTAAGCAAGGGTTAGGCAGGGCTTTGTTTCTCTTTCATTTAAAACATGATTCATCATTTTCTACAGAAATTACCAATGAAAGATTTTCCCACATTCTTCAGTCAGTGCATTTTAGGAATAGCTGCTCTAACGCTTATCTCTTCCTACTTGGTATGTAAAGTAGGCTTAAGTAAATAGATCTGCTCATTTGGTTTGGGGGTTAGTTTATTTGTTGCTATTAAATATTTGGCCTATTATCAAACCGTTTTGCAAAGGGTGTAACTGTGCAGCTTCCGTTAATATGCTTCCATCCCTATCACACACAGATCATTTACCCCCATAAGGCTGGGGCATTATCCAATTACCAGCCAGCTTGCAGTTGATTGCATAAGAGTGTGATGAAGTAGACGCAGCCAGATGTTATCAGGTGGCATAGGAAAGAATTTGAGGTCTTGGCTTGCTCAACATTAGAAGTAGAGTTTCAAGCTTGTGTCCTATGGGGGAGTGAGAAATGGAGAGCAAAGAAGGTTCTTGTATTGCCTGTATCTAAATGACTAACTGGCTGTCATCCAGCACTTGAAATTAAGCCAAAGCCCTTGTATACCATTGCTTGCCTCCAGTAAAACTACAGTCTCAAACCATATGGATTTATTTTCTTTTCCTTTTTTGATTCCCTCCACCTGAGAGAAAGCTATTCCCCTGGGGAGAAGGGAGCTTGGGCTCCCCCTTTGGAGATACACTGTTACTAGGATGGATGTTCCTCACAGAACATAGAACTGACAGAATTGCTCAAGAAGCAAGGTGAATTGTAATTTTCAAGTTGGAATTTGCTGTCACTCAAAGTTGCATTGTTAGAAAGAAATTTAGGAGGTCATTTAAAGTGAATACAGAGAAAAGATCACTGCTCTTCCAATTAAGGTATGATATGCTAATGCAGATGATGTGCAAGGACTTGATATTCTTGGCTCTCGGATAGTGTTCAGTGACTTTAGTCTCAGATACTGCTTTGCCTTATTATCCCAGGAGACATTTCCTTTGTTGTGACTGTCCAGGCATAAACTTTCAGATGTCTGGTCATACACGATGCCTTTGTAAAGCAGTGCTAGTATGTTTGTTCTAAGATAGCCTTTCCTGTCATGAAAATTGGTCCCTGCAAAGAGGCATCCTGCTGATCTGTTCTTGAAAAGGAGGTCTTTTCTGTGCATCGAGCGGAGCTGCTGGCATGCCATAGAAGCCTTACCTCTAGCTTCAGCATGTTGGGGAAGCTAGATGAGACTGATCTCCTCAAAGGACATGTGTGGTGCTACCTGCAGTTTGAAATCCCATGCAGCAGTTGAGCTTCACAAAGTGCAAGACATGTAGTGTCCAGGACTGCTGCCTTAGAAAGTGGGTTTTGTCACACCCTTTGGTAGGACCCAGGTCAGATTTTGTGTGTAATTTAGTTACAAACTTTGTATTTAAGTTGTTTCAATACCTAAATAACTGTTTTGGTGTCTCCTGCTATGTATATAGATAGCTCAAGTGTGCTGACATAGAGCCATTGACTCAGCCCGTTATCTGAAACTTGAAGTGACCTTTTAGGTTTTCTGGGTCCTGACTGTTGAACATCTTTATAATGAGTATCAAGATGCTTTACATTTAAATGTGCTGAAGAAATACGGTGCATGTGAAAGACTTTAAGCTCCTTGTTGCAGCACTCTGTTTTAGCTGGAGTTTCTTAATAGCAAAAAAACTGTACCCTAGGACACCACACAAATGTTACCCCACTGAGAGATGATGAAGGTGTGTAGTGCTGAGGCCAGGCCCTCTTTGGTCAAGCAGGGGAGGTCTCCCAGTTTGCTATAAATAGCAGGACATGGTGTTTTGGAGAAGCTCTCCTGTGAAAGGTCAGTGTCATGCACTGGGTTTACCAGTTGCACAGTTAAAATTGCGTATTAGTCGAGTGTGTTTCTTGAACCAAAACCAATCCCATTGCACAACTTTTAGTTTGTGGGTTGTTGGGGTTTTTTTGTATTCCTCTTTTCTGTAGTAGTACTAGAAACTAGCTAGAAAAGCCTCAGCTGTCCTGGATTCAGTCTCGGGTTGCCATCCTTCACCTTGAACAAATTTTAGTAAATGTGTTTGCCAAGTATCAGTGGCTTCATTACCTGAGCAGTAGAAGAGACAGAGCAGTGTCTTCTGTCTACTGGTAACATCTGAATGTAGGAGGTCTTCCTGGTTCCCATTTGCTATGTCTACGTGGAAACAGTAGAAAAGCAGGGTGAGAATAGTCTTTTAAAAGCCCATCTAGTCCATACTAGCGCACCAAAAGTGATATTTTTGTACATACTAGTTTAATCTGCTTTTTCAGATCTCCAGTGATAGCAACTTCCTTATTCGCTGCAGACTCTCTGCCTCAGTGTTTCTCTGTTCTTGTGGTTAAAAAGTTCTTGATATTGCATCAAGGGGAGCAAGCTCAAGGCTATCATTATCTGTCACACTGATCGTGGACATGGGGAAAAAAAGCATAGTTCCTCCTCTTGTGCCAAAGGTTTTTAATATCGTTTAAGACTATCATGTGATCTAAAAGGCTAATTCTTTGCAAAGTTTCCTCATAATCCTTGTTGTGCTTGGTGTTTTATAGAGATGTGAGCAGACAGATCAGAGAAGTCTAGCACCCACAGTTAGAATATGGTATCCCAACTGATGTCATATGTTGAAGAGACTAGGGCTTCTGTGTCTGCTTGTGTTCACTTGATCTAATCCCAGGGTTTTTTTTCTAAAAAATTACTGCCTAGCCAGTTGTTTACTGTCTTGCATTTGTGAGGGGCAATTATTTGTATGTAAATGTGGTATCTTTCCTTCCTTCCAGTTGAAGGTTGAGTGATTTTTTGATGCTTTGCTCCTTTTTTCCAGTGGCACTTGAAATCTACGCTAATTTGTTTCAAGTTCTTCCCAGCGTTGTGTCATCTGCACCTTGTGCCACTACTAAATAATAAGTGTTCTCTACCATCACACTTGTGACATGATAAACACCTGGCCCTTGTGGTACTCCCTCCGCACATATGCTTTCATTTTCATAAAGTACCGTTGGAGTCCCTTACGTGGATATAACTACCTGACTGGTTTTCCATCCAGTATGTTTTTCTTGCACGCTTACGAGAAGATCGGGTGGACAGAGTTTTACTTGAGAGGCAATTGCTTCTCTCCTACAGACTGAGCTGATGCTGTTTATTATGGGTAAATCTGAGCTGCCCGTTTTATTTTTTCATGTTGTCTATCTGCTTCTTATAAATGACAGGAATCAAAAATAAGATGTCAGTGAGAGAATCTAATCTATCCTGTGCTAGCATTTTTTTTTTTTGTAGCAGTGGTATGTCATGTAGTTTGAGTTCATTATTTAAGTAACTGCTTGGAATGTCGTGCAGCTAGCAAGTAAAGTATATGAGAAATCAGAGCAGTTAAAAGTAACACAAATCTAATGTGAATATTAAAAAAGCAAAGATTAAAGAAAATGATGTGGAAGCAACATGCCTGGCTTGCTTCAACAGTTGACAACACTTCTGGATCATCAGACCTCTGACAACACTAATGGTTTCTTGTGGCTTGCAGAGCATCGTTATTATCCAGCTTTTGTTTGGAGATGCTATGAAAGGGACTATTGCCACAAACCAGCAAATACTTCCTTCATTGAGATCATGCTGACTATGTTTGTGACAAGAGGTTTAGCTGAAAATATTTAGACAAAAGGAACAAATACCACCTTTTCTCATAATTACAAATTGTGTGAAACTGAGGAATAATTGTTTTCTCCATGTGATGTATCCAGAAAAATTCAAGTGAAAGAATTATCTTCTATGTGCGTACATACATGTGCCTACATATAATTTCAAACTGATGACCTAAGACTACGTGGCCATGTGAATCAAATATATATTGATGATTCTAGGTATCCCAAAGTTGATTACAACTGATATGGTCAAAGAAGGTGCAGCTGTGATTGATGTAGGCATCAACCATATCCACGATCCTCTTACAGGAAAGACCAAATTAGTTGGGGATGTGGACTTCAAAGGTCAGTGAAACACTCTTTATGTGAACCTGTTGGTTAAATATTTTGAAATTTGTGGGATTCATTCATGATAAATACTTGGAATAGTCAGTGTCTCAACTGGGATGACACTTGCAGGAATTATTTCTAATTTATTTACTTAAATAAGAAAACGAACTCTATGTTCATTTATCTACTCTTAAGAAATGGTATGTTATTTAAGAGAGGAAGTGTTACTTTTAATTACACATACCAGCAACCTTTAAGAGATGCAGATGAGCTCTTATGGCAGTGTGGTGGCAGAAGATGCTTGTCTCCAGGTTTCTTTAATCCTTTGTGAGTCTGTGAGGCATTTCAAGAGTATGCAATAAAAACAGTTTCTGATAGGGTCTCCCACTGGTCATAGCAAATATTATTATACCACAGCTGCTCAAACCTCCTTTTATGTTCTTGCACTACTCTTGTATGTGAAAATGTTAATTTCTGCTTTAGAAGTATCCTTTATGCTAAGGTTTAATGTGGGTTCATCTTCAGTTGTTGGAAGTCTTGGTCCAGGCAAACCTAACAGGTAAAAATTAGTGTTACATATTGATCTTTTTATATTTAATGTGTTGCAGAGCAAGTTCACAGTGTAACCTGATAAAATATCTCTGCTCTGGAGGAGCTCCTGACTGGAATAGCAGGATTGTTGAAGTTGAAAATTAAAGCTTATTGGCAGAGTCGAGTGTGGGAAGCTTAGACAGCATTTACCCACATTATTAATGGTTCTCAACAGTTCCTTATTTTGATAAGTATGAAAATCACCCACAGGTTTTTTTCACGGTTATTAACATCTTGGCTGGCATAATGTCTCAAAGCTTAATTATATTCAAAATGTTTCTAGCCAGCTGTATGTATTTGTAATTACATCATTCCCTTAGTTCCTGCTTCTTTTACTCATCATACATGATACCTGTCTGTTAAAGTCAATTAAATTATCTGCACGAGTGTAGCTAAGCGATTGTCCTTGCATGCATTTGGAAACATGTAACTGTATGTGTACAGTACAGCTCCAGCAGAAAAATACTTGTAGAGTACAACTTGAAATTTTGTTTGGTTTTGTTATTCTGCTTGTACTATCACAAGTAAAAGGTTATATTTTCTGTTTTCAGAACTGAACTAAAGCACAGAGAATTTTCAGGATTTTTTTGTTTGCTTTAGCAGGTATGGGAGGAAAAAAGCCGTAACTTTGAGAAACATAAAAGTGTGTCCTTTATGTTTGTTTTTCTTTAAGTGTGAGACCTTCTGAGTGTATTATAGGTGTAGATTCAATGGCAAGGCCATGATTCAGAGTTTCAGCAATGCACTGTATATGTCTCGTCATGTCTGCTGTGGGTTGTTCTCAGGATTTCACCTGGGGGGAGGGAAGATCCAAAAAAGAGGGAGGAACTTCAACTTGGATTATGCCACTACAGTTGCAAGTAGCATTTCACTGTGCATTGCCAAAGGGAAATTGTTGTTGGTTCATTGGTATCGGTGAAAGTTTCACTAAATCTCTAACAACAAAAAAAAACATCCCAATGTATACAGTTCCAAATACTAACAAGTTAATCATACTCGTCAAGTATTTGATTTGGTGGTGAGGAAGTGGAACAAGCTAGTGTATTCACATAGCAAATCATTTTATCCTTTTCTTCCATCTGATCACTTGACTGAATTTACATTTAAGCCTAAGTGAATATGATTTCTGCAGGTTAAGGCCAGGTACATGAATGGCTGGCATGGCATACAGTACCTGTTTAACATCATGGCACCCATTGATATCTATTGTCTCATCATCCACTTCTTGAAGTAGAACAGTGTGGCCATGGGGAGAGCAGAGATTTAACTGGACAATCAGAGGTTAAATTTGATTTATAAGAAATAGGTTGAAATAGCTTACTTCAGCAGGTCATCTGACTGAAAATCTCCCGTAGTGGAAATCAAGTTTATTAGATGGGTGGAAACTGTTTTGATTCAGCTGTCATATCCTAGCAATACATGAATGTCATCTTCTAATCTCTTGAGGGTAGGTTAGACGGTAAAGTTTATTTTTATCTCTCTGAGAACAAGAGGATGCCACTTCAATATATTTTGTTTTTCTTTAATGTTGTTCATTATTAAATTCAGCCTAAGAAATGCCTGGAGGAAAACATTCTTACCACAGGCTAAGAGAATTTGATAGCTGCTCAAAAAAGTGAGTTTTGAAGTTTCAAAATCTGGTCCAAAAGATGCATTTGAGTCACGTCCGCTTCTTCTGAAGGCGCCAGAGTTGCCCACAGTCACCGGCAGCCAGGGAGCTCACCCTGACAGTGCTTCCCACTGCGGGCTGAGGCCTGGCTGCTGGCACATGCCGATGTATGTGTGTATGCGCTCTCAAGCCAATGAACACACTTCGGCTGTCCTTTAAACTCCAGTAGATGAGGAGGAGCAACAAGATTGTTTAGTTCATTTAAAGAAATTTAACAGTATCAGACTTCTGCGTATCACTATTACAGCTGCTATAATGGTTGGCTTGCTAGTGATGTCATCAGGGTACCTCTGTGCTTGTCAGACTTAACCGTTTATTTTGGGGAAAAAATCCCAGGCTGTATTATGGAACGTCTTTAAATAATATTTATGATTTTTCCCATCCCCATATGTCCTCTTTATTTTGACACTCCAAACTGTGTCCACATCAAAAAAGGGGTTTTATGGTTTGGGTTTTTTTTTTTGTCCAGAACAGTTTACCAGGTATCTAAAAGAACAAGACAGGAAAGCACTGTGCAGGTGGAGGTGAAAGGCAAAGTGCTGAAGTACCTAGCTTGATGTTACTGGAGTATCATAAACTGCATGTGCATCTCTCCATATATATCCAGCACAGCATATTCAGTGTACCCCTATGTATGTTAAGAATTTGCCAAAATATATGGTCCAGAAAAGGGGTATTCTGTAGCTTCTGGGAGCCACAAGGGAAAGGATGAAGTGACAGGGTGGAGGAGAAGCGGTAGCATCCTTAGATTATTGGCAACTTCGTTTTACTTACTTTCGTGCAGCAAGTTTCAGTCATAGAAAGGGGAGACATGTTTCTATGAACAGGGTAATGAAAGCGTGGGTGTACTTGGCCCTGTTTTATAGGGCTTTTGTTGCCACAGCAATAACACTAAGGGGGGAGAAGGGCTACATGGACCAGGAACATGAAATAAAGCAACAACTTACACAGAGCATTTAACTGGAACGGCTTTTTTGGGTGGAGCACCATTTCCAGGAGTGACTGGTAGAGCAGGGTAGTAACATGCCGATGTAGTAGCTAACCTTTGAAACTGGAACTGGAAATGTCCATGAAACCAAAGGGTACAGAACTCTAGTGGGATTTGCTTTAAATGCTGCCTGTGTTTATTATTCTTCCCTATCTTTGACAAGCAGACGTTAATGCTGGATTTTGAGTCTTTATTGGATGCCTATATAGAAAAGAAATCTTTTATGTAAGACCTTCACAGGTGATCTAGTTGCGATACCAGTGAAGGGGTTTATAAATGAGTGTTGTTCTCCCAATTCCGCTGTTTTGCACAGCCTGGGCAGTGTAAAGGAGATCTGGAAAATGGGTGCCACCAGGGGCAGGGAGGAGTTCCCAGTACTGAACAGCAGAAAGGAGGGCCTCAAAAAATGATGGATATGGTGGAGGGTGGTGGGTGTATATTACAAATTTCCTTTGAATGAGGAATGATTGTAGATAGTGAATGCAGGGAAACCAGGGAAATGGTATGTTGAATGCTATTAAGGTGGAGAACGGACCAGGTTCACATGTTGCTTCTGGATAGACCAAAAAGAAAGAATCAGCTGAATGAAAACCAGGGAAATGTATCCTGTCCTCAGCAGCTACAGGACTAATGACTACAAAGTAATTGAGCAACTTGAAAAGTTTCTTGAAACTTGTTCATGTGTTTAAGACATTTACCACAGTAATCTTCGAATCTAATTTCTTAATAGAAATGATGGTCCTGCAGTTGCATCTTAGCTTATACTTTGCAGGAAGCCCAGGCTTTGTGACAGTAGTCATTTCTGACAGTTGTTTGCTGCCACTTTGCGTTCGTTGTGTTACCTTCCAGGCTGTAGGTTTCCCTTCAGATTATTGAATCCTTTCCAAATGATGTCTCTGTGTAACTCTTCCAAACAGGGGTCGTGAGAATAGAATGTAGGTGTTCCAGCTGCTTTTGCTATAGCTTTTGTTAGTTAATTTCTCACTTGATTTGGGGCACCTGGCATTTGTTTTGCAATTAATAGAAGCCCTGTGTAATCTTGTCACCATATTACAGTGCTCTGCAAAAATCAGGGGAAGCATTGCCTGTTGTTATGCTCCACTAGTGCAAGAAGTAAATAGCAGTGTCAGCACCAGGCTGTGGCCTCCAGAAGGCCAGTCTGACTGACTGCTCACTGGTGGCAGTAAGGTGCGGGATGGCCCCAAGTCTAGGTACTCCTCTGCAGAAGACAGTTGTGCAGGGGTCAAAGTAGGTAATCTGGCATTTCTGCTGCCACTGCTTATTATCCCAAGGCTACAGCTATGTCCCATCCACCTGCCTGTGCTCATTAGCTGCATGCAAAGAAGCTGTTGTGCATAATTTTAAACTGGGGTTTTTGGCCCAAGATGCCTCTGTTGCTTCGCTTTTAGAGGTACTGGAGGAGGCAAGATGTATGCACTGTTAGAATTACAGTACTGGGCCGTAATTCCTTGGTTTTACTTGATATTGCTGTTAATGTAGCTGCAGTAGGAGAAACAGGGATAACATTGAAAAGAAGAAACTATGAGAATAGGTGTAGATGCTTGCTGGTTATGTCCCACAGTACATAGTGAGAAGAATCCCAGAATGTGTAGAGCAGAACATGGGATATCTACTGTGATAGCTGAGCACATGATTCGCACCTATGCAGTGCTGCAGGGATGCAGTGATCCAGAGCAGCTTCACAGGGACTAATAAAGCTGTGTGGAAACAGTGCTTAGGCAGGAATTACTCTGCATCACTTAACAC